AGTTTTAAAAAAATAGTGATGATAAATTTAATTTTGAAATTTTATAGTATATTTAATATTTTTATTTTTCAATTTAGTAATATTGCTTGAAAGGTTATAAGGGTCCACTGTGCTATTCTTGTGATGTGTATGGAGAGATTTGGGGACATAGGTATTCTGAAATGTATAGTCCTGGAATGTGCTATAGTTGCACTGAAAATTTGTTTAATATATTAATTGAAAATATATTATTTTTCCTCCTACTCTCTCTTTACATATTAGTTATTTTAAGAACAATTATAAATAAATTATAGGCTAAACTAACTGGTTACTTTATTAATAAATCAGATATCTTATACTTAGGATCAACATGTAATTTTTAGTATTGAAGAATAATCTTATTAATAAGCTTTTTTTATTTAATAGTAAAAATCTCAGAAAAATCACAAATATTATCAAAGATTTTTACAGATCATCTTTAAATATTATCATTATTTAGCTTTTTTTCAGTTAATATCCCTAATTATTTTAAAGTACCATTATTGCTATCTGGTAATTCTTTGAGCCTTACCAGTAAGTCTATAGATTGTTTCTTCTCATAATTTTAAAATTTAAAGCCTTTGTGGTTTTATTAGATAATTTGGTCTTTACTATTACCAATATTTTTATTTGCTTTTTATCTAACTCTTGGTCTTCTTTTATTATTATTGAAAAAAAATAACATAATACTAAAATATAGAAATACAGCATTTATTTTCATATATCTCTACTTTTTCCCAACTGTTGTTTCACTCTTGAGTAGATCTTTGAATTGCATTTAAATAGGAGATGAAAGTTACCTAGATTTAGATTTTAATATCAAATGTTTTGATCCTGAAAATCACTTACCCTATATGATTTATTTTAGCATACCTATATTATTTGTTTGGATCATAGTGATACCTTTGTTAATATTCTTAAAAATTAGAAATGGTAAACTAAAGCAATGGTCAATATTTACTGAAATTAAATATTCAATTATTTTTGCAGGACATAAAGAAAAGTTTTATTATTGGGAATTTGGTAAACTAGCCTATAAATCTATAATAATTATAAATTCAATATTGTTTCAACAGAATTTGCTTTATAAAGTAAATTTATTATAATTTATTTAATCATATTATTTGATATTAGTTATATTTTTTACATTTTTTATAAAAAAAAGATATCTTTGATGAACACAGTCATTTTATTTTAGTTATATTTAACAACTAAATATAAACCTTTTGTAAATGATAATTTTAATAATCTAACTTAAAAATCATCAATTCTATGTGCTTTATCACTAAATTTAATTTCAATAATTTCAGCCTAATA